TTTTTATGACATGACGAAACGCGCGCGCACACACACACACACACACACACACACACACACAGAGATACACACGTGTCCACAGACTTACAAGATGGGAAGAAGTGATGGCTTACCTCTAGCACCCTCTCTCTCTCCTGCGGTGAATCGCTGTCTAGAGTTACGGAGCTTGCCCGTTCTGCGCCTCGTTCGACCTTCTTACCAGTCAATCAATCAGTCAATCACTGTGCACGGATCACTTTCTCTGTCCTGCCGAGAAGAGCTGAGGACCAACCTCCTAGTGGAGTGCACTTGTCGAGATGAGAATGATTACCGTTCCTCCTCTCCTCCTACTAAGCGAGAAATACGCAAGGAGGCAAGAAGAAGAAGAAGAAGAAGAAGAAGAAGCAGGACAACGAGGAGGAGGGTTGTGATCCTTGAAGAAGAAAGAAGAAGGAGGGTTGTGATCCTTGTCAAGGAAGAAGATAAACAGACTGCGCAGCGCGCCAACGCATCCGTACGTGGCACCCGTTCATGCGCTCGGCTGCACGGCAGCTGGTTTCAGTTCCAATGACGCTCTCCTCCGTGGTCTAAGGCGTTACACGTGTCGAGGGACATCGGCTTCCTTTCGGAACCGAACCTGCAACGAGTGAGGGACCGCCACGAGTACCAAATAATACGTTCTCACGTAACATGAACTTGGTCCGTATCTACGGCAAGTTCCCGCATAGTTCATGGTGCGGACAGACTCATAAACCGTAGTCCCATAACGGCAAACAAGCCCAGAACTTGGGACAGGGCCCGGGACCTTCGCACACCCAATCAAGGTCCCACGTGCACGGATCCTTCTACCATTCTCGAACACCTACGGTCATGCGCTGTATAGCTGTATTTGGGCAACTTTGCAGTCCATATGGTGTGGGTATAGATGTATTTGTACATAGCTGTATTTGGGCAACTTTCCAGCTGCATACATACAGCCACAGCCATAATGACGTTGCAGTCCATATGGTGTGGTCGTCAATCTTTGTAATCGAAGGTCTGATCAAAGATCGACTTACCGCGACGGCGCGGGTATGCAGGCTGAAAAGGTCGGTAGGCATAGGGAATAGGTAGGTATTCGGGGGGAAGAGGATGGCATAGCAAGGCGGTTTGCGAAGCGCAGGGGCGCAGGGAAGGCAGCCAAAAGGGCCCCCATTTCTTCTCTTTTCCCTATTTTCACAGAGAGAGAGAGAGGGGGGGGGGCGGGGGGGCTACCAAAGATTGAGAGAGAGAGAGAGAGAGAGAGAGAGAGAGAGAGAGAGAGAGGCTGAATGGCAAAATTGGAATATAGGTCAAATTGCCAGGCCTGGGAACCACTCTTGGTCACGGTTATATCTGAGGGGGTCGGTCCCCTCTAGGGCGTTGTTTTTCTCATAAGTGAAACTGGGTATTGCTCCCAACTGTTTCATTTCAAGGTAGACAATGAGGACTCCGGCCTCTTTCTCCAATTGAAAACATATAGTCCTTCTTGCAAAAAAAAAAAAAAAAAAAAAAAGAGAGAAAGAGAGAGAGAGAGAGAGAGGCTGAATGGCAAAAATAGAAAATGGGGGGGGGGTACCAAAGATTGAGAGAGAGGCTGCGAGAGGCTGAATGGCAAAATTGGAATATAGGTAAAATTGCCGGGTCTGGGCCGTTGTTTTTCTCGTAAGTGAAACTCGGTATTGCTCCCAACCGTTTCATTTCAAGGTAGACAGTGAGGCTCCGGCCTCTTTCTCCTATTGAAAATATATAGTCTTTCTTCCAAAAAACAAGAAAAAGAGAGAGAGAGAGAGAGAGAGAGAGAGAGAGAGAGAGAGAGAGAGACATCGAAGCCTATTATACTGCAGCCTTAGGTGCACGAATTTGAGAAGATGACGGATCCTACCATACCACAACGCTTGAGGTGTGTGAAATACCATAGCCCTTTAGGGCTGCGAGCAGATCTAAGGGCTTCGTTTATTCCTGGCTACAGGGGGGATTTTCACGTGACGGTGTACCAAACCGTGAGGTTTTTTTTTTTTTTTTGCATAATAAAATTGTCTTCCGCATGGGCGCGGGGAACACAACCCTAAGGTAGCCAAAGCAATAAGACTAAGAGCGAGCAGGAGAGAGAGAGAGAGAGAGAGCGAGAGAGAGAGAGAGAGAGGCTGAATGACCAAATTGAAATATGGGTCAGAGTGCGGCTGCAATGTATTTCGCAATAAAAATGTTTTTTTTTTTGAATTCTTTAATATTTTCATGGAAACATTATAACAAAATCTACGAGCACTCCAATTTTCATAATTTTCCACGCATTCTTCTGAGCGTGAAAAATCACTTAAGTTGGAGTACTTTTTCCTTGGCCCACACATGGCTTAGTGGCAAAATTGGAAATGTGTCGAATCGGCACGATAATTATTTTGCGGTCTTTATTAATTTTAAAAACTTTTCTGATATTTTTTTGAAAAGTTCACGACATAATTTACGGAGTCTCAAATTGTCAGATTTTTTTGTGAATTCTTCTGAGCACTGAAAAACGTTAAAGTTGTCTCTTGCAAATTGTGGAACTAGATCTCCGGTAAGCCCTTGAGGCCTTAGTGCCCATGCCTCTTCGTTTTTTTCTTATCTCGCGGCCGCTGCAAAATAACGGTCTTTCACGCGCCCCGCCCCCTTGCTAAGCTCTTAAACAAAAATACCCACCCTCCTGAATGAACGACGTTGACGTTGAGGGACCAAGGTGTATAAAGCACAACCCTGACGGGCTATGAACACCTGAATCATTTTCGTCTTCCTTTCATCATACATGTAGTTTGTATGGGTCCAATGGTCGTTGGAAAGGTGTTAAAATTGAAGGCAGGGGCTTCTAGGGGGGCGGCCAGTCATTGCAAAAGCAAGACCGATATTGACCGCGGTTTTGGAAAAAAAAATAAAAAATGGCGAGTCAAATTTTTTCAAATCGAAGGGTACTTTGAGTACAATGCATATAAATTCTATCGAAATACAAAACATATATTTTCTATTCAAATTTTGAAAAGAGAGAACTCTTGTATTCAAATAGAACATTGTTTTTTTTTTTTTTTTTTCGAGGTTTATGCTCTCGATCACTTACATGCTGCGTATTGAGGATTCTCTCTCCCTCTCTCACTCAAACACACACGCACACACGCACACACTCACAGACACACATACATACATACACACACACACACACACACACACACACACACACACACACACACACACACACACACATAATATTGGAGTTGTGTATTGCGAACATGACAAAACATAAATACAACATAATTAATACCTTACCCTTCCCCAACCACATCAACAGACAAAATACAGGTTGTGCACATGTTGCCCCATTTTTTTATAGTCTAGCCACTTTCTGACGACTGGAAAACCAATAGGGTATCACGCAGGATTTTGATGATTTTTACAATAAATTAATTAATTAATTAATGCAAATCTCTTCTTGATGTGTGTGTCTGGCTTCGAGCGAGACCCTTCAATTACGGCCCACGTCGGTCCCTGGTCTTAGAAATCTTTTATTATGATTCGGAACTTCAAGTAAGAAATCTAAAAAAAAGAAAAATGTCATGTTCGTATCAAAATGCCAATTTAGGAATTTGATAACCGTGATAAGATCAACAGAGAACATAATCTAAAGCAATATTAATGCAAAGAAATCAAGACTGACTAACTCAAGGCAAACACAAGATGAATGAGGGAAGATGATAACTCATAATAATCTGATAAAGTACAAATGAATAGACATTATCAACACTCGTCAAGAGTCCTCACTCATCCCTCTCAAGTATTATCCTTAATCTCTTATTTGGCCTTGCGTCTCACGTGCTTTAATCCATGTTTATGTACCTCGTGAGATTGTGGCCTAGAGACGTAGAGTCACCTAAAGCCCATGAGTTTCGAATACGTCCATCCAAGGCCAAAAATTTGAAAGTTTCGAATACGTCCATCCAAGGCCAAAAATTTGAAACTCAAACATAAAACCAAAAACCTCCCATAGAGTAGGAAGGTATGACCTGAAAAAGATCTCTCGTGTGAGATGTCGAAACTCTGATGGTTCGGTCACTGCCTCATAATCAATCTTTGCAGGTAATACATACGTTCTGGCCAGATCAACCATATCACCCCAATAAGAACCATCGATGAGGTAGAAAGGTACCAAAGGTTTACGGTATTCAAAGTACTTCTTAGGGCCTAAGTTATGAATCAACTTTGCACTCTCCTAAAACACTCATGCTTTCTCCTCAACATACCGAGTTGTTGTAACCCAGATTGAGTCGAAATGCTCATGAGTCTCTTTACCCTTCTTCACATAGATCTTCAAATCATGGATAGTTTCCTCTGCAAACTCAGTGAAAACCACGAAGATGAACATATCTTCTTGTTTTAAACCGGCTGCACTGACATATCGGTGTCATAAAGCATGCTTGAGAGCAATTTGATTAAGCAAGGTCAAGACTAACCATTGACCAAGATATATTGAACTATACTCATGTGCCGAGATGAATATTAAAACTAATCTAGATATTTTTTATGAGAGTAATGACTGACTAATGTCGATTTGAGAACAAATTGGTAGAGAGTATGTGATGATTAATTCTGATTGTCGTTTTTTGTTGTGAAAGTTTGAGATAAGTTACTCTAAAACTGCCAATAGGAAATCGGACTGAGTTTATGAGAGGATATCATGAGGCCTCTCAAGCCCTGTCAACGGTTACCCGCATGAACTGATACCAACAATGATGTTGAATGCAAAATAGTTGATTGGTGTCTATCAATTGAGACATTGCCGAATGTAGAGAAATTTGTTGTAGGCTGAAATTAGTTGCTCACAGGATTTCTGATAAGGATTCAAAGGAGTATTGCTTTGGTTTAAGGCTCATTGAACGTTGATTACTTCTCAACTCTTTGAATTGTCTCTAGGGAAGAGACTCTGTCGTGCAACTTCCCATCAGATCCATGGATATGAAACATATACTCTACGAACTCATGTCGTTTTTTTACCACCCCAACTGCAACGTTCATCATCATTCTTTTATAGTCTTCTATCTTTTCAAACACTTTGACCTCCCATTCACTTGCTTTATCCCAATAGAGAGTGGAGGGTATGACGATAAGTTACTTTGATCTCTCATCCATCTACTTTATCTTTTTAAGCACTTTGACCTCTCATCCATCAGATCCACTATGAGCGTTGAGTTACTAGTGCCCGGAAACAAATTACTTCCTTTGATTAAGCACTTGCTACGACCATAATGGTAAGCACTAGCCACGAGAATAGTGAGAGGGAGGTTGTTAAGGGATCACTGCAGTCAGACCATTATCTCTAAACTCTTAATTGTTTGCCTTCCATTAAGAATCAGAGTCGACAACCGAACGATAAAACTTTCTACTAATAACCAGCTACGGAAAGACGAAAACACTGATTACTTTTTCACTTAGTGGTTTGCTGTTGGAATCAATATTGAACTGCAAATTAGAAAAAATTAGGTTCTCTTGCAGAACGCACGAACGTTTATCGCACACCTGAAAATTCATAGATGAAAATTGTGAAGT